AACCACAACAACAACAACAACCACATCTTCAGCAACAGCATCCACAACTCCAACAACAACCACAACTCCAACAACAACACCCACAACCCCAACAACAACAACAACCACATCTTCAGCAACAGCATCTACAACTCCAATAACAACAACAACCACAACTCCAACAACAACACCCACAACCCCAACAACAACAACAACCACATCTTCAGCAACAGCATCTACAACTCCAATAACAACAACAACCACAACTCCAACAACAACAACTACATCTTCCACAACTTTAGCAACAGCACCCCTAACTGTAACAACCACAACTTCAACAGCCACAACTCCAACAACAACTTTAACAAGCACAACTTCAGCAACAAAAACCACATCTTCAGCAACAGCATCTACAACTCCAATAACAACAACAACCACAACTCCAACAACAACAACTACATCTTCCACAACTTTAGCAACAGCACCCCTAACTGTAACAACCACAACTTCAACAGCCACAACTCCAACAACAACTTTAACAAGCACAAATTCAGCAACAAAAACCACATCTTCAGCAACACCATCTACAACTCCAACAACAACCCCAACAACAACAAGCACAACTCAAACAACAACGAGCACAACCCCAACAACAACAACCACAACTCCAACAACAACAACAGCCACAACTTCAACAGCCCCAACTCCAACAACAACTTTAATGACCACAACTTCAGCAACAACAACCACATCTTCAGTAACAGCATCCACAACTCCAGCAACTCCAACAACAACCACAACCCCATCAACAACAACCACAACTCCAACAACATCTTCCACAACTTTAGCAACAGCACCCCTAACTATAACCACCACAACTTCCACAGCCACAACTCCAACAACAACTTTAACAAGCACAACTTCAGCATCAAAAACCACATCTTCAGCAACAGCATCTACAACTCCAACAACAACAAGCACAACTCAAACTACAACTAGCACAACCCCAACAACAACAAGCACAACTCCAACAACAACAACAACCACAACCCCAACAACAACAATTATAATTCCAAAAACAACCACAACTTCAGCAACAACCACCCCAACAACAACAACAACCAAAACTCCAACAACAACAACCCCAACAACAACATCCATAACTTCAACAGCCACAACTCCAACAACAACTTTAACGACCACAACTTCAGCAACAACAATCACATCTTCAGCAACAGCATCCACAACTCCAACAACTCCAACAACAACAACCACAACCCCATCAACAACAGCCACAACAACCACATCTTCCACAACTTTAGCAACAGCACCCCTAACTATAACAACCACAACTTCAACAGCCATAACTCCAACAACAACCCCAACAACAACAAGCACAACTCAAACAACAACGAGCACAACCCCAACAACGACAACCACAACTCCAACAACAACCACAACCCCAACAACAACAACTACAGTTCCAAAAACAACCACAACTTCAACAACAACCCCAACAACAACATCCACAACTCCAACAGCCACAACTCCAACAACAACTTTGACGACCACAACTTCAGCAACAACAACCACATCTTCAGCAACAGCATCCACAACTCCAACAACTCCAACAACAACAACCACAACCCCATCAACAACAACCACATCTCCAACAACAACAACCACATCTTCCACAACTTTAGCAACAGTACCCTTAACTATAACAACCACAACTTCGACAGCCACAACTCCAACATCAACTTTAACAAGCACAACTTCAGCAACAAAAACCACATCTTCAGCAACAGCATCTACAACTCCAACAACAACAACCCCAACAACAGCAAGCACAACTCAAACAACAATGAGCACAACTCCAACAACAACAACCACAGCTCCAACAACAATGACTACAACTCCATCAACAACTACAACAAGTCCAACATCAGCAAACACAACCCCAGCAACAACAACAACAACTCCAACAACAACAACCACAACTTCAACCACAACAACAACCACAACTCCAACAACAACCACAATTTCACCAACATCAACCACAACAACAACATCCACAACTCCAACAACAACTTCAACGACAACTAGAACCACAACGACAACCACCACCACATCTACCAGTGCTGCCTCTGCAATCAGTCTAGGCATTCTCCATCTGCTGCTTGGACTGTTTGTCTTAATGCTGTAAATTATTTTAGATTAAATAATCTTTTAAACAGTGAAAAATCTTTAAAAAATCAAACTTGGTGTGTTCAAGCCCTGATTTTGTTCAGTTATACATTCAAAGTAAAACAGAGTTTTCAGTTTTAATGTTCTTTGAATTGAGTTATACTTTTTATTTATATTTTTGTAAATTTTGTTGTATATTATGATTGAAGAAAACATTTATTAAAATTTTATAGTATATTTTCCTGCTTTCATGTAATTCTTGTTTTATGAAATAAAYTCTTTTGAGTATACAAAGATACATTTGGATGTGTTAATTCCTGGTGATTTAATCTTCTGATGAGTTTTTGGTCATTTTAATGACTACAAGGAACTGCTTTACACAGGCATTCATATCAACTTGTACAGATTTTTCATTATTTACAAAGATTTTTCAACCATTTGGCAGATATAACTTTAAGAAAATCTTGTGTTCGTTTACTGAAATTGTGCCTTACCCAGGCATAAACCACATGAATGTTGAATAGATAAAATGTGAAGAGAGTGGACCACACAAACACCAGTAATGGATTCAGAACAATGGTTTTATTGCTCACGGCTGAAGCATCAAATCAGCGCTGCTGGAAACACTGAAGTACAAATCATTTTARTAGTGTCTTCAATATCTGGCCTGCCCCCTACAAGCCTACAGCTGAGTCACAGACACTCAAACAGAATTACTTTTCTTATGTTCATTTAAACAGTTCTATGTGTTGTCACGGTGTTTCAGGCATGTAACTAAAACTATTTTAATCAAGACATAACAGTAGTTTATAAAAATCAATACTTAAAAAGGAAAACKGGGAAATTGTGTGGTGCTTTTAAAATCAGTAGATAAATGATTAGTAAATTTCTTCAACCATACCCACATACAGAGAAATCTGATTTTTTTTTTCAGATGTCATGGATTATTTTCAAAAACTCTGCTTCAAATTTATTTTATATCTTAGAGCCCGTGGGACATAAAAATTATATAAATTTAATCCCCACCAAACATGTCAAATGTTTGTTTGTTTGTTTGTTTGTTTGTTTGTTTGTTTGTTTGTTTGTTTGTTTGTTTGTTTGTTTGTTTGGAGATGCTTTTTTTATACAAGCCATATTTATTTTCTTGTCAAGTTGTTTTATTTTTTTGTCATGAACCTTAACCTTTACCCTGCAAAATGACATCTGCAGAGACATTTTAAATTGTTTTAGTTTTTTATTTGTTTTCATCTCTCAACATTCATGATTCAAAWTTGGTAAATTTTCAGGCATAATTGGCAGCTGTTTTAAATGTTTTCCATTTGTGAATGGTCTCTCAGTAGAATGAAAATGACCTTTGACCCTTCACAGATTGATGGGAAATAACAGCTCATTGCTGATGGCGATGGGTTACCACACACTAGTAGGCTCTAGAGCAACAAACAGGTAAAACTCCAGCTTTTATTCATAATATATTGTATTTAATCAGCAGCACCTGGCTGATCCTGAACCAAACATATCCTGTGAAACCAGCAAGGCTTTCATTTAACTTCATTTGTCTACATGATGAAGTTCGTGGGTTGTTTTTTTTTCTTGAGATTAGATTTGGTTAATTTTAGGCAGACCGACACAAGGAGCTCAAAAAACAAATTGTTTTATTAAACAAAGGAAAAGACATGGCAGGAAACTTTATACAAGAAGAAAAACTCGGAGGAACTACTGGGACCTAACTGACACAAAAACCTACATCATCTGGATCGTTTAGGCTGAAATTCGTGCAGCAGCTAAAAAATAATCAGAAATATACTAAAACTTTAACTTAACGAGGTTTAACAAAGAAAATGTGTGGATAGAAGAAATGTTGAGAAAAGTATGAAAGATTATTTTAATAATAATTACATCTGATTAAGGATTTTCAGGCTGTTTTTAGCCCAAGTGTCACACTTGAAACAAAGACATGAAATCATAATATAATACTGCAAATATGTATGTTTTATTTTAGCTAAGTGCTAATTGAATATTGAGGTGTTTTATAAGTTGTGTTTGGGTGGTTTTACTGTTTTTACCTAAAGAGAGGAATTGTTGAAGTGTGGCAGTGAAAAAGTGAAYGCTCAGTCAGGAAATGTACCTGAGTTTAAAAAGTGAAGAGAAGCTCTGGAGTTTTAGAAACAGAAACCAGGAGAGCAGAGCTGCAGAACTCACCTGACCCTCCTGAGGAGACTGGTGTTTCCTCACTGGGGGCTCAGCAGCACAGGTAACTCCTTGGATAAAATCCCTTGAAGTCAGAAAGAAATATAATTATTGGGTTAATATAGTTTAGAGGTATATTTAATTAGTTATATCTAAATATATCAGAGCTGAGATTCTCATTTTTTAATTTTTCAAGGATTTTAGATCATTTTTACTTTGGTGGGGTTTTAAACTTTTTTGTTTGTTTTATTTAGAATACTTCTGTATTGTTGAGACTTTTTTCTCCTGGAAAGTATACAGATATTTGATCAACTAAATTCTGTAACCTTTCAATTTTTATATATTTACTTTGATTTGAAACATGCTGTTATTTTTTTATCTGATAAATCAAACAATAAATATATTCAGTTGTTGGATTTTTTTATTTTTACTATTTTCTTGCATTATAACAGAGACGCTTGACGTGTTAAATGTAACAAATGTAAAATTACTCATCAAGAAAAGGACAAATTTCTAAAGATCCTCATGCTGAGCTGGAGCTGGTTTTTAGTTTTTCCCCGGAGGTTAGAACCGAGACGCCACCGAGACGTCAGCGGAAACAAAAAAAAAAAAAAGAACGAAGATGCCATTATAAAAAACATAAAAGAACAAAAGTGTTTTGTTTTCATTCAAGCATTTGAAAAATGTTTTGTGAACTTTTATGTCCAGACAATTATGGACATTAAAATTCCTTTGAGAAGAAGACAGGACTGAAACTTTGAAGTTGCAAACACGAGAACACACCCAGTCAGGGAGGTTAAGACTATCTGAACCTGCAGAACTTCATCTGATCCATTCATGATCTCAGCTGGGTCCTGGGTGAGGCACGGCTGAACTGTTTCCTAAAAGACAAAAAAAAATCATTTTAGTTTTTTTATTTATTTGTTGCTATTATTTCTGAGAACTCAGACATGTTTTGAACATTCTTTACTGTTTTGGATCATAAAAATATGAAACTGTAAGGAAAGGAAGTGTTTTTTTAAACTCTTTACAGGTCAAGTTTCTCCACATTTTTCTGTGAAACTGAATTTTTACAGCAGCTGGTTTTGACTTTGGGTTGAAGAATTTGGACACACTTCGTGTTTCGCGTCTCTTAGATGATGAGAAATAATGACAGATAATGACTGATAATCCTGGTATTGTTAGGTTGTTCCTGCATTTAACTTTAGCATTCACAGTGAAAGGCAGGCATGTGTTTGTTTGGCTGTCTGTTAGCAAAATATTTTGTGGTCGACTGGACAAATTAACCAAACTCAACCAAATTTACAGGTACTGAGCTAAAATCTGTTGGTGGCTGAGAGCTGTAAACTGAGGGCAAACAGCCTGAGAGCTTTGTTTAGTACATTTTCAGGTTAGGCAGCAGGTACATTCCACTTGAAGTTTTGAGTTTTTCTCACACCGTGTCCACTGTCCCTCCACCTGAGGCTGACCTGATTCTGGTTCTGCCACATTTAGTCACCTGGAAAAGGATGTTTCTCGTTCCGTCTGCCAACAAAAGACTGAATTGTCTGTTTAAGTTTACTGTTTTATTTGCAGCTTTTCAAATAAAGAACTCACCTGAGTTCTCAACTGAGAACGTTTTAACAGCTTGAAGGTTTCAACAACTTATTTGTTTGTTGTTTCGTTTGAATCGGGGAAAAAAATATCTAAAAAGAAAAAAAATCATTCTTTCAGTGCAGTATTTATGCTTTTCATATTGGAGCTTTTTTAGTCTGCACCTATAATATAATATAT